GTCAGTCTCCGTTCGTAATCAGCATTCATAAGAACCACAGTCTCAACATGAGGTTCGTTGCTTCCAGGTATCAGGAAGATACGTATTCGGTTTCGTCCGTGAGAATACCACAGCACGCATTAAAGCGCAACGTAGTCCAAAGCAAGGAAGGCGAGTGAACGCACAACAATCTGGCACAGGTTGTTCATGCTGAGACCACGTTGTTCGCTTGACTAGGCGCGGGCTGGAACAACGAGACGTTGGAAGGGTACGAAGGCGAGGATCAAGACAAGATGTCGCCTGAGCGGCGCCGACAAGTGGCAATGTTTGGCGTTTACGACGGGTGGGACGGGAGCGTAGACAAAGTTTGACATTCTTCGCTGACGCTACATTTTGATCGGATTGTCACAGTCATGGCGGCTCACACGTGTCGAAATACCTGGCCCAGCATTTGTCGCCATTGATCGAGAATTGCAAGGTTGAAGATATCCCTGTAGAAATTGACAAGTACAGAGCGCTCGGTGGGTATCTGAGGCGCTACAGAGGCGGACCTTTGGAGCGGTTTCATGCAAAATCGGGCGAGATGCCAGACCAGCGGACACTGTCTCTCGACGAGATGTGCGTGCTCGTATTTCTCCAGGTGAGCAGATCGACGTAACGCTTTGGGGCAAACCGGCGACCAATGAACTGAAAGTTCAACTCAGGCGGACAATGCAGTCATGGCCGATGAAAAGACGGGCAAAGCAGGCTCGGTAGCGACCGTTGCCCTGCTCCATTCGCTCGATTTGCCGTTCGCGCTACCGTACTACGCGTCTCAAATGATTTCATTGACGATTGCACACCTCGGCGACACTCGAGCTGTTCTCGCTTCCACCTCGTCAGGCCGGGCCAGAGTCTTGACAGAAACACATCATCCAGACTCTCGCATTGAGAGCGAGCGATTGAGACAAAGCGGCACTGGTATCGTCACGGATAGCTTCGGCGAGATGAGGTGGGGCGGTTCTCTGGCAAACACGAGAGGAATCGGAGACAAAGAATTCAAGACGCTCGGCGTCATTGGCGAGCCGGTCGTTACCAAGATGGTATTGAAAGGTGTGCTGTGCTGCATCTGGGACTTGAATCACCCAGACTGATTGACGCGTCGTGCGCTTGCTCAGGCGAGGAGTGGGCTTTTTTAGTGTTGGTCTCTGATGGCATCGCGGACGTCATGTCGGATCAAGAAATGGTCGATTTGTGCAGAGGTGTTCAGGATCCATCAAGAGCAGCGTCTCGAATCGTGTCTTTTGCTGAAGACGTTGGAGGGTGAGCCATGTCGAACCCAGTCTCGAAAAGACGTCGGAAGGTGGCTGACAGATTACGGTTTCGGTTCTGACAGGGAAGATAACATGACGGCGATCGTCGTACCCTTGCCTGGATGGGGTAGGATGGGAGGCATGGATTCTAGTGCGTCTCGACGAGAATACAGGCTCAAGCAAAATACTAGCGCGAGTTCGAGGCAAAAGCGCATGTGAGGCCGACTACATGAATACGCTGTAGAAAGAGGGATATTCTTGCACGTGATTTTGTTGTACAAACAAGATGTATATTCATCCTACGACTTCAAAGCTCGTCTCGAACGTGCGTTGCTGGTCGCTCTGGTTTGGACTGCTTCTCCGGAGTTTCTTGGGCTCGGCCAGATTCGGCTGGTACAGCCATGGGAGCTTGCTGGGTTGTCGTCGTCGAATCTTTTGCCAACAAGTCTACAACAATGTCTTTTGCCGAATTGATAGTGCGCTTGCACGCCATTGTCCAGATGCCGCAGGCGACGCCGCCTGTTGTCAATGCGCAGGGTCAGTCGACCGTTTCTGCCAAAACAAAAGTGTCACTTGTTCATGCCTCACCTGCCGGTGCGGACGGCAACCCCATCCACCAGGTTGCTGGACCGAACCATCCAGGTGGCAAAAAAAAGACGGCTTCCTTGCGATGCCAAGACGTGATAATGAACGGTGCGACGGTCGTCAGGACAAACAGAAAGGCCTTGAAGATTTTAGCGAATTGTTGCTTGGCCGCCACCGTGTCTTGGTCTGCGTTGAGCAGTCATTTCAGTGAGCAAGGACCTCTTTGCCAGTTCGCTGGGCGCCCTCACTAGCTGCTTCAAGTTCTGCGACAGCCTTGTCGAGCTTGCGTCTGATCTTTGCCCATTTGCTGAACTCGTCTTGGGATGAAGTGCCGGCCAACTCTGCCCTCAGCTGCAGAATCTCCTGACGCAGTCGGCGCTGTTGGCTTGAGCCAGCCGTTCCGAAGGCTCTCGAATACGGCAAATAGAGCTGGAGCGTCATGTCGCAGAATTTCAGCAAGGGCAAGCACCCTGTGATGCAGTACTGGATTGCTGACCATGTCGCTCAGGCGGTCCTTGCCGATCCACGATACGAGCTCGACGCCGAGTGTGACTCCAAATAGCAGCACGGCCAAGTCCAGATCAAACATGACCATGTTGACGAGCGGGCCTCGCTGGCAGCTGCTTGAGTCAAAGGGGAAAGCAGCTCCCGTTGCTGCGGCACGACGTCAGCTTGCCGTCAATGAAATGGCAAGCACTGGCGGACAAAGGTAGACTACCTGTACACGTTCAACGCCGGAAAGAAGAAAGTCTGAGCTTTGGCTGTTGCTGAGTCAGCGGAATTGGGGAAAAGGCTCAGGCTGACCGGGCCATGCTCGTTTGCTTGTGCTCGCTGTACGCGCCCGCGTCAGCTGTCCTTGCCCAGGCTCTCGTCGCCGTGTCCGACTGCTTCAGTGCCAGTTTCGAGTCACAAGTGTACGCACAGGCGCCAGGGCGATGCAGCAAGCGTTCGCTCGTCGGGTCGACCCGCTCGCGCACAAGCAGCCAGACCAGTTTCGTCAAGATTTGAACGTCAGGCTCATCTGTCCAGACTGTCAAGACGAATCTGTCGGTCTCGTCGAAGAGTTCTCGAGCGGCGATCTGGTGTGCGGCGGGTGCGGTCAGTCTGCCATCTCTCCCCTTGCCCAGCTCATTCTGCATTGGCAAAATCCATATTTCGTATACTCTTTGAGCATCTGTCAGTATTGACACGTATCGGACTGCTCGTCTCTCAGGCCTTGTGCTCGGCGATCGAATTGTCGACACGCGCTCAGAGTGTGAGTGGAATGTGGACCCGCGAATTACGTCCGTAGGCGTATGAGCGGGCACACGACTCGTTGCTGGCCCGAATGCTGACTCGGCAGGATGCTCGCGCGCGTGCTCAGGGCGTTCGTTCGCCGATTCTGAGGGAGACGACCCGTCTCGTGTCGGAGGACCTCAAGATCCGTTACTAGACGCGGCAGACCAATTTTCGACAATCATCTCGTTCAAAGATGGCCACTCGGGTCATGCCAGGGCCCTGCAGATGGCTGCCTCGCGCGTCACTCGTGACTCGGGTGGCGGTCGAGATTTGCAAAGCGCGTTCAGAGAGATCGAGTCCATGTGCGATGTCATTTCATTGCCGAAATCGATCGTCGACACGAGCAAGCAGTTGTTCAAACGCGTTGATGAAGAGCGCATCTTGAAGGGCAAGCGCCAGGAGGCCATCATCGCCGCGTGCATCTTTATCGCTTGCAGACAAGGTCGCGTATCTCGAACCTTTCGAGAAATTGTGGCTCTAACCAAGGTGCCCAAGAAGGTTCGTGCCCCTGTTCTCTGAGAAAGCGCCATTAGATTTGACATCTCGAGGCTTGCAGGAAATCGCTGACGTTTTCAAAGTACTCGAACGAACGTTTGAAATGGGAGGAGGCCAAGGACAAGCGCCAATGTCGACGTCGGCATCCACCACCGATTCGCTGATCACGCGTTACTGCAACCACCTCAACTTGCCCGTGCCCGTACAACGTGCGGCCGTCCACGTTGGTGTACGAGCGAACGAGGAGGGTGTTTTGACCGGCCGCAACCCAATCACGATCGCAGCCGCGAGCATCTTGTTTGCCACAACGTTGTGGGGCGTGCCCAAGCCCGCTCGAGACATATCAACAGTAGCGGGCGTGCAGGACGGCACGATTCGTTACGCCTTCAAGTGAGTGAGACCCATTGCAATCTTTTGTCGGCTGGCTGACGAGGTCGGGCTGCCACCAGACTGCTCGTTGGTCACAAAGAAAAACTGGTCGACGAGAAGTGGTTTGACGCTTCAAGACCCGAAGGCACTCGCGCGAGCTGGGACAATTTGCCAGACTTCACAAAGTCCGGTGCTGCGGATGGCGAAGGCGAAACGACAACTTGAGTGGCGCCATGGGGATTGGCAAGACTCGCTGGCTAATTGACGATGAGCATCTCTCCCTTCCGATCCGTGTTGTGACGTTGTTGCCTTGTGTTGGACTATCTTTGTTGTAACGCTTTGTCTCCCATTGGGCATCTCTGCTCTGAGATGCGAAGCCATGCGATCGCTTCCTCCAGCAACCCTAGAAGAAGTGCTCCTGCTGCTCGAGTCGCTTAGCGCATTCTTTCACGGACACGATCCCTCGATACGCTGCTCCATACCCTTTTTTGGCACGACCAGGTGATGAAGAATCATGCTATAAGAGCAGGGCAGCTGAGGCCGAACGGCGACGGAGAGCGTCCAGGACTCTTGGCAGTTGGGGACACTAGGCCGAAAAAGGGATCTGTTGCCCTCAGGGCTTTGTGTCCGAAACACCCGTTTTCGAAAGGCTTCTGCGATCATTGCCCCATCGGACGACACAATTCTGAGAACGGCTACGTATATAAGAAGGGCTCTGCGCCGCAGACTCAACCGCAAAAGCCAAGTCAGGAATATGAACACTATAACAAAGTAAACTCCCAAGAACAATGGGGGGTTCTGTGACAGCTTGCGCCGGTCCACGGTCACGTTATCCCGCTAAAACAGATTTTGTTGACTCATTCCGAGTCAGACTCGGCCAGACTTGGCCAAAACCCACAAGAAGGTGCTAAAATGCGTCTGCACTTAAATTTTGCTCAATCGCGAAAGCAATGTCTGATGCAGTATCTATATGCTTAAAAACTTTGCTGCGGACGTTTGCCCGATTCTGTGGCGAAATCGGTAGACGCATAGAACTTAAGATTCTACGCCGGAAGGCGTGCGGGTTCGAGTCCCGCCAGAATCATTTTTTTTTGGCTGTTACTTGTACAATCTCCGAGTCGAATTGGGCCCAATCAGATCTTTGATGGTTTATCCACTTCTTGATGGTGTTTCAATTTCGCCCTTTTGGACACTCATATTGGGGAATCCCGTTTGGAAAAAAATTCCCCCTCTCACGCACGTACGGGGCGCAAAGTGCTTGCTCGATCCCTTTTTATACGTCTGTCACGAGTGGTCGAGGTGTAGTCTCGCTCCCTCAAATCATTCATAAGAGGACTGCTCGGAACCCTGCAAATATCAATTCGTAGGGTTCTGGAGTGGCTCAGATTTGACAATCCGCTACCGCGTCGCTTGGGCTTCGCGTACATGTACCGCGCCTGTACCTTTCTGACGGACTGTATGTGCATACTTACGCCTGGTGCGGAAACCCGGCCAGTCGCTTAAGCGCGGACGCTGGCGCTGGCGATCAGCATTTGGCACCATGAACGGCCGAGATTCGCTCAGGGGTGCACATTTCTTGATTCAAAGAGCCTGCATAATCTGTGAAAGTGATTGATGTTTGTTCGCAACTTTGTGCGGCAAATGAATTGCGTCAGTACCTCATGCGAGAGTCTTCGCTCAAGGAGCGTATGGGATCTGATGACGTCTTCGAGACAATCGCGGGATGACACTTGTACGAGTTTCATTATACAGCACTTATTGCATCTGCGCGGAGCTGCAAAGTTCAACCCTTCGACGTTTGTGGCTAGACAGCGTTCGCGCAGCGCCATGCATCAACAAGTCATTCTGAATGTATGAGAACATTGTCAAGCTCCACGAGAAGTCTGGAGTTCCGTGCGCTTGACGATCGTATGCTAGTCATGTTTCTACTGGGTGGTTTGATGCGGCTATAATACTATGGTCGCGTCGAGCTCGATTGTAACCTTGATCCGCGCTCGATTTTCGCTGCGTGTCGTTTTTCAAGCGCAATGCGAAAAGACAGAGCAAACATGGGACCGCCTAGACGGATACTGTGCAACTTGACTTGGTCAAGCTGCATCTTGCATGCTGGGTTCCGTGGCGAGCGCGGTAGGTTTGACTTCAGCAAGCGCCGGGCTTTGCAGAGATGGCATGGTCGAGTCTGGCACATGCGACAGAATCAGCCCATGTATTTCGATCGGCCAATTCGATACAAACCCTGGGTCTCGGTTCGGCTCTGTTTGATCGGGGTCGCTTCGTCCACATGCTGCACTACGTGGAATCTAAGCTGTTCCCTCTCCGTGTCAGACATTGCTGCAGTGTAGCGCGAGGTGCAGCTTACATCAGAAGCTGTCGGAAACGTCGCAGTGCAGTAGCGCCATCTGCACCCGAACTGCTGGCCCTCAGAGGACATGCTGGCCGACTGCCGCCGTGAGCAGATCTTCTGTAGCTGTTGTGAGCGTGCGCGAGATCGGCCGCGGTTCGGATCAGAGGACGAAGTATACTTTGACCTCGTTCACGTGACTTGCGATTTTATTGTGGGACATCCAAATATTCACGTTGATGTTTTGTGCAAATCTACAGCGGATCTTGTACGACATGCCGACTGCAGGACAGTACTCCTTTCACTCTCCCCCCACAATGTCGGCGCGGGCGACGACGTCGCGCGTGTCACTCGAGGACTGGGACGCCTTGGCGCCGCTGTCTGCGTCCGAGAGTGCATCAGTGTCGCGCGTGACGGCGGCCGCTCTGAAGCGCAAGCTGCCTGCGCATGTGAGTGGTCTCGTCTGCGCTCCGAGTCTCGTCCACTAACCGCGGACGTTTGCCTTTGACAGCTCCAGCTGCAGCTCAACCAGTCCAGCCTCAACGGAGTACGCTCGGCGACGCCGCTGTCAACGTCTGGACAGGTGCGCAAAGCGTCCCACTTGAACTTGCACCGTCTCGGCTCGCCTGGCACAGGCTCTCGCCCTCATTCCGCCTCCGGGCACCGCGCCAAAACTGTACAGCGAGATCAGGATGGTGACGATGGGTTGGACGTGCTCGAGCCCATCGAGACGGCCCAGCAGTTTCACGATTGGTTCACGCGCGTAGAGCGCAGCATCGAGCACGGCCAGGAACAGGTCTACAGGCATCATTTACAAGAGCTAGACGAACACGTGTCGAGCTGCGACGTCGTGCTCGAGCAGCTCGACGACGCGCGCGGCCTACTGAGCGAGATGGAGGCCAACTACCGATTCGTCGAAGACAACTCCCGCGCACTGCAGCTGGCGTGTGAGACTATGCTCGATGAGCAGGTGCGTCGACTCTCGATCAATGCCTGTACCTACCCTCGCTGACCCTGTGCTACCCTCAGAAACACCTGATCGAGGTGACGGACGCCATTGGCGCCAGGCTCGAATACTTCCGCGAGCTTGAGACGGCCACACGCATGCTCAACTTGCCAGGGGAAGAGCTCGTGCTGCAAGAAGACTTCTTGAACCTGCTTGATAGGCTTGACGCCTGTCTAGAGTATCTCAAAGCCAATGTCCGTCTTGATCGTTCCTCAAATTTCAAGTGCTATTCTGAGCCTTATGCACGCAGCGCGATTTCAAAGACGCAGAGCTTTACATCATACGATTCCAACAGTGCTTGACGCGGTCTATGACGCTTATCAAGATGTATTTTGTTTCGACAATCCGCAGGCTGACGCAGGAAGTGTCGGACAAGATGGCAGGCAAGGTAGGAGTACGATCACGCAACGTCAAAGTGCGCTTTCTTATGCACCGTGCACCCACAGGACTTGTCCGAGACGGCGCTGAATGCATTGCTGTACGCCAAGTTTTCATCTGTTGCAGAAACGCTCAAGATTCTCGTTGCCGAGCTCGAAAAGCGAGCCAAAGTCGAGCCCGGCGAGTATGGAGCGCTTTTGAACGAGTGCTACGGCGCATGGTTTGGCTCGAGAAGCGCGTTGCTGTCCGCGTCGTTGATCGAGGAAGTTCGACGTATGGACCCGGCAAACAGCGAGTTGATCAAATTGGCAAAGGCGGGCTGTACTCATTTGCGATCCGTCTGCATGAGCGAATGGGCACTATACAGACAAATGTTTTCCAGCGGCGAGGCAGAAGCTTAGTACGTCGCACTCTTCGCGATTCGGCGCAGCTGGGAGCTTATGAATTGTTGTGCAGCCGCTTCTTGGAGTCGCTTTGCGACTACTTGTATGACTCTCTTCGACCTCGGATACTTCACGAACAGCGACTTGAAGCTCTGTGTGAGCTGTGCACGGTCCTCAGTGCCATGATGGGTCTCGATTCAAACAACCTCGACGATGACGATGACGACCCAGATCAAGAAGTTGATTTTGTTGGACACGAAAGTGGTCCAAAAGCGACAGTTGGTCCTCTTCGCTTCAGCGTTCTGCTTGAGACCATCCAACAAGATGCCCAGACCCGACTCGTGTTTCGAGCCCAGGCGGTCATACAGACCGATGTCCTGCACTACACGCCGACGACAGAAGACTTGCAGTATCCGGAGAAGCTTGAACGACACAAGGGTCAGGCGCTGGCGCTTTGGACCGAGGACGAGAGGCTGCGCGAAGTAGAAGTCGGAGGCTTTAGGATGCCCAGAGAGGAGGTCCAAGTCACTTGGTTCCCGACGCTTCAACGCACTGTTTGGGTTTTGTCCAAACTTAACACATACGTCAACGTGTGTTGCGCCCAGACACTGCTACGTACGAGTCCAGCTGACAGCATTCATGCCTGCAGAGCGCCATTTTCGAGGACTTTGCTGGTGAGGCCGTCACACTTTGCCGAAGATCACTGTCGACAGCGTCAGCACAGGTTGGAATCCGGTCGCCCGACGCCAAAATTGATGGCCAACTGTTCTTGATCCGCCACTTGCTGCTACTGAAAGAGATGGTCAGGTCGGTCGACTTGACGCATATCGAGAGAGCAGCCGATTTTTCGACGGTGACAGGTAAGCGGTGACCGTTTGGTACCGATTGCTGGTGTCTCTGCTGAGAGTCTATCTGCAGACGCGCTCGTCAACTTGCTTCGCAACACGTCTGCCATTTTCAAGCCAAGTGCCTTGTTCGAGCTCGCGGCAAAAGGCATGCCGAACTTTGCAGAGACAATGACGGACGCCAAGATGGTACGAAGTCTTGATAGCCTCACAATAGATGGGTGGAGCTCATTGCTAGTATTAACAGGACCTCGATGGCGCTCTCAAACGCTCCTGCGAAGAATTGATTGCCGACACGTCAAGTCAGATCGCTCAAGACGTCAAGCAATTTCTCGACAAATGTAGCACCTTTTTGTCTTCGCCAAACGGTCAGGAATTGAGCGCTCAGCCTTGGGCGACGCCGGACAAAGTATTGGAATTGTATGAGCGTTTCCAGGATATATTCAAGAAACAGGTTCGAGAGACTGTCGACAAGTTGTGGTTGTATCTGAACGATGAAAAGACTGTGGGAGTGCTGCTGCCGCCGTTGCTCGTAAGTGGGACACCTTTTACCTGCACAAGGGAGCTTCGCTAACAGAGACTCGGTTCGATAGGAGGAAATTGTCGAGACCTACTCTACCTTTTTCAATTGTGAGCTTTGCCAGACGTTGCGCTAATTTGTTGATACTCATCTGTTTGAAAAGTGATTCGTTCGGAATACTCGTTCGACACGAGCACCTCGCTCGCCCAACCATCATCAATCAAAGAAGCGCTCGAACAAGCCAGTTGCGCCACGGCCTAGTCTCAAGTCTGATTTGCAGTGCACGTGTATAGGAGAGAGATTTGATAAGACCTGAAAATTCATGATTGCAACAAGTCTTGCAACACTTGTTTCGCCTTTTGAGCGTTGGCTTTCCCTCCGGTCCGCTTCATCACTTCACCTACCAACCTCATAAGAACTTTGGAGTGACCTCGTCTGACCTTGTCAGATTCTGTCGCCAGATCGTTGATGACTTGAGGGCAGATCAGATCGAGATCGGAAGAGGTTGGTTGAGATGAGATTGATTGAGAGATCAATTCGGAGAAGGAGGGACCTTGGGGGTTTGCAATAAAGCTGCGAACGAGCGCTTTTGCAGTCGTGCCTGCAAAATA